ATAGCACCAGATTTCTGAACAAAGAGAACCTCAGCCTATGTTAAAACCACCAAATTATCAAGTTTCCTACATTTCTGAAGACAGATGCATCCCAACACTCTTCCTAAATCTGCTCATCTTCTAACATTCCTGTCTCAGTTAAAAGTAGATTCTTCTTCTCTGGGGCATTGGTTTTCAAATGCAGACCCTCCTTTCCAGTCCCAAGGCTGGGTTTTCCTCACTTGAAGAGCACATTTAGATAGCATCCTTCCCCTCCCCCGACCAGCAGCTTATGAAAAGCAGATCCTCTCCCACAGGCCTCTGGTGTTTCAGTAGGCCTACCAATACAATGCTGGCCCTCCGGCCTAGGGGTTGACATACAACCCTTACTGGAACAATCAAAAATCTTCCCTAGAATTTTTCACATTGGCAGTAAGAAAAAAGTAGCACTGCCTCTTTAATGAAGTCAGAAAATGTGATCTGGGAACTACTGAGAGCCAAAGACTAAAACCAACTTGAGAAAGGCAGAGACAAGTGAAATGAGATCATGGGTCTTCAAATCTAACCAGATGCATTCCTGCTCTTCACACTGTTTGGTATCATGATCCAATAAATTCATCATTTGTCCTAGGCCAGTTCAAGTGGGGTTTGCAGCCCCTTGGGAAAGTCATATCACCACAAAAAGGCAAGAATGCTGCTATACCTAGGAGGTGACTAGAACCTGACACTCATTCTGTCTCTGCCAGGATCTTTTCCCTCCACTATAACCCATGCAACTCACTAAGTCACCCTCCCTGTCACCTATTGTTCATCAGTATCCCCACAGGCAGGTAACTTGGTCACTGAGAACCACCAAGCATTACATCCAAGGCTCCCTCTACCAGTTTTAACCATCTTCTTCATGCAAGTTTTATTTATTTATTTATTTTTTTTTTTGTATCCTCACCCGAGTACATTTTTTTGATATTTTGTTCAGATAGAGTGGGAGGGATAGAGAGAGAGAGAAACATCGACGTGAAAGGGACACATCAAGTAGTTGCCACCCGCACAACCCAACCAGGGCCGGGGACACACTGCAACTGAGGTACGTGCCCTTAGCGGGAACCGAACCTGGGTCTCTCAAGACCGCAGGCTGACGCTCTAACCGCTGAGCCAAACCGGCCAGGGCCTCATGCAAGTTTTAAAATGCCGGAAAAGTATTCTGACTGTTTTAGTTTGGGGCAAGTCACCATCCCCGGTCTTATCAACTATGACCATGATATTACACAGACAAAGAAGAATTACTCTATCCACTATACCACAGAAAACTCAGCATTTCAAAGTCCTTCATAATTTGTTTCCAACATGTCTTTAAGCTAATCTCCCTCTATACACCTACATAAAATTCATACTTCAGACACACTGAATTACTCAATATTTCAGAAATATACCACATAACTTCATGGCTCCATGCTTTACTCATTTTGTTCCCTCTGCCTTGAATGAGTTCTATCCTTGTTCTCTCAAAATTATTGTCCTTAAAGGTCCAGCTAAATTTCCACTCTTCATTGCCCTCCTCATTTTGAAATTAGTCTCTTTACCCTCACCACTCCCATGCCCTGTAAAGTATTTACTTATAAATGTTTTTATCTCTCCCACTAGCTTTTACACTTGTCAGGATCAGAGATCCCAATCTATTCATCTTTCTGTCCTTCAGTACCTGATGCAATACCTTGTACTTAATGAGAACTCAATAAATGTTTGGCAAATGAATGATCCTTTAGAAATGCTGACTACATATCATCAACCACTGATCATTAAATAACAATGGAACACCTCCTCTACCTGAAAGATAACTTTAGAGCCTAACTTTCTTAATGGTACCAGTACATAAGCTTTCTGAAATAGAAAGAACCTACCAAAATACAGTTATATGGTCTTCCCTCTATCTTTCAGACAGGCAAAGTCAGCCTTGAGAAAGAAATCTCCATTCCTGTTGGCAACACCATTAAATATATTCAAGCAAAGTGTAACGTTTGTGTTGGACCAAATTTTCTTCAGTACACTAAAATGGCAAAATATTTCCATATACTCTCATCACTATCTTCAGACAGGAAGGAAAAGATACAGAAACAAGCTGTTTGGTTTTCACTCTCACACAATCCCAGATACAACTCTATTTTCCCAAATTACAACACAGCTTTAGACTGCAAATCAGCACAGCATGGCAGGCATAAGATGTAGAAGCAAGTATTCATCAATTTTACAAATCATTTGGCAAAACTAGAGCTCTAAAGTTAACCCTACACACCCTCAAGTCTAGTGTTCCATTGCAGCTGACCATGTTTGAGTCAAGAACTTCCAATTTGCTGCCAGAATGAGCTCTGAGGTTCAGCCCACTAAAGGAATCCAGAGCCTGGTGTTGGATTTCATTCTGGTCCTACAGGAATCTCCTCCTGGAGCTATAGTATACCAGTGTAACTCAGGCTATAGATATCAACAAAAGGTCACTGTCTTCTGTATAATCTGTTGAACTTGGTTCTCTGGAGGCACTATACAGAAGACATGCAGAGAAACCCAATACATGGTTTTCCAAGTCAATGCACTATATTTGATAGATAATACACCTGAAGAAGACATCTATGACCTGAACTTGGATAGCTCTATAATATAAAAAAATGAATTTTTCCTTAGATATATACAACTGACAAGTTTTCTTTGCACTATCAGGAGAAAGATAAACATTTAACAAAGATTAATTATGTGCAAGGTGTTTTTTGGCACATCTTATCTCATTTAATCCTTACAACAATCCTATCCACTTTTTATAGTTAAATACCTAATAAATGGCAGAGCTAGGATTAAACCTATGTCTAGCTAGCTGATCCTCAAATCCACATCCTTTCCACTAACCCACACTACCTCCTATCTACTTTGCTTTGATAAATATGCTTTTAAGATTCAAGGAACTAAATATAATGTGGTATCCTGGACTGATCATGGAACAGGAGACAGACAGTAGTGGAAAAACTGGTGAATCCAAATAAAGTCTAGAATTTAGTTAATAGTATTGCACCAGTGTTAATTTGTTTGGATAAATGTTTTATTACAATGTAAGATGCTAACACTGGGGGAAATAAGAAAGAGAGTGGGAACTCTCTGTACTCTTTTTTTAAATTGATTTTATATAGAGAGAGGAAGGGGTGGGGAGAGAAGAGAGAGAGAGAAACATTGATTTGTTGGCATATCAGGATGATGCACTAACCAAGTGAGCTACTGGCCAGGGCCTCGGTACTCTTTTTTGTAACTTTTCAGAAAGTCAAAATTATTCTAAAATAAAAGGTATATTTTTAAAAATTCAAGGAAGTTATGAATCTCAGATACAATCCTGAAGCTTGATATCTAACTGGATATTTCCAATGCGATAGAAACACATGATCTTTTCCATGATTATGAATTTTAAATCTACCAGAGAAGTCAGTGCTAGCTTCAGCAGGGTTGTACAAAAGTAAATTAAGTTCAAAGTCAAATGGCATCTTGGTTGATCAGCAATAAAATGCAGCCTATCCAATGAAAAAGAAAACTTCACCAAATTAGTTCATCATGACAGCAGGTGACCTAAACAGCTGCTGTTTATAATATGCTGAAGTAGGCAGCTATGGGTAACTGGGAAGCAGAAACAACACAAGTCCACCCTGAAATAAAAGTTGTTAAAAGGCAGCATTGTTAAAATGTTGGATTTTGGGAAAAGCACCAGCAAGTGAACCCAACTGACTCACAGTAATCAGAGAAGCAGAGATGGGTTCATCCTTTTTTGAGCTAAGACTTTAAGCAAAAACCATGAAGGAAAGAGACAACTGCAAAGAGCAATAGACTCCACCCCCAGGCACTTCACCTCAAACCAGAGGGCAGTCTTCCATCTGTCTATGCTGTAGAGAGCTGCTGATCCTGCATTGATCTCCCCAAGACACCTGCACAGAGATGGTGTTTCTACCAGGAATATCATCTCCAAAGAACTACTCAAACACTTACATGAAAAAAAAAAAAAGTTCATACATAAGACTTAAATTTACATATTGTTATCCAAATCTAAAGTTTGGGTCTCTTCCACCTTACTCACCCTGGATAAACATGGTTAAATATTCTATATACTTATGTTCAACTCGGTTGGATTACCAGCCCTCCGGTGACTTAAGAGGAAACATATTTTGAAGGCTTTTTTTGTTTTTGTCTTCTGATTGGGCTATTTATAACCCTTATTTTAAGATTCTAAGCATTTTTTCTTTGAAATTTTAATTTACTGTAAATGCTTCCCCCTTAGAACATTCCCTAGTGCCATCCTATTATTGACTCATTTGAATACCCTTAATAAAGAGTCAGAAAGAGAGGTAAAGGGGAGTAGAAAGATGGGGGAAATTCTGTCACTTGAATGCTGAGGGCAGGGGGGCCTCTTTGTTAAGAGTTTCGCATCCGGACCTTTAGGCCACACAATTAATATTCCCTCTGGAATTGTAGGGACTGTCTTTGAAAGAGTCTGTTGTCCAGTTTTCAGGCCACATTAGGTAATTTCCCACCCGGGAACAAGGCCTGAAAAGAATGTCGGTGTTTTCCTTCAGGTATAGGTGCCTGGGGTCAGGGGGAGAGGGAAAGACAAGGGGTGGAGTGGGAGGCGGGTGATCGACAGGGATAGAAACCGTGTCTCCTCCTCCCTCTGAATGTGAAATAGCCAATGAGGTGGCGCGGCCCGGCCGGCCCGGCCGCCAGTGCCATATAGTATGCAGCAACCCGAGGAGTCACGTTGGGGGAACGGCAGAAAGCAGCTATCCTTTTACACTACTTTGCTCTAGCAGCTATCTTAATGGTGACTGCGTGGCCGGGGGGAAACCTGATCGGCCAGATCCAGCCGAAACCGGGAGGGAGGGAGTGGGCTTTCCGGAGGGGGGGAGGGGGGAGGGAGACGAAGAAGGAGGAGTAAGAGAGGGGGAAAGAAAGAGGAAAAGAGTGCGAGGGAGTGAGGGAGGGAGGAAAATAAACAACAAAAAATGTCCTCTTCCTCCCCCACCGGGCAGATTGCAAGTGCGGCAGACATCAAGCAGGAGAATGGGATGGAAAGCGCCTCGGAAGGGCAGGAGGCGCCTCGAGAAGTGGCGGGGGGCGCGGCGGCTGGGCTGAGCCCCCCGGCTCCAGTCCCTTTTCCCCTGGAGCCGGGGGACACCGCCGCCAGGGTGAGCGGAGAGGAAGGGGCAGTAGCGGCAGCGGCAGCGACCGGAGCGGCGGCGGATCAGGTACAACTCCACTCGGAACTTCTGGGCAGGCACCACCACGCCGCGGCCGCCGCCGCGCAGACCACACTGGCCTTCTCGCCCGATCATGTCGCCTGCGTGTGCGAGGCACTGCAGCAGGGGGGCAACCTGGACCGCCTGGCCCGGTTCCTGTGGTCCCTGCCCCAGAGCGACCTGCTACGTGGCAACGAGAGCTTGCTGAAGGCGCGGGCGCTGGTGGCCTTCCACCAGGGCATCTACCCGGAGCTCTACAGCATCCTCGAGAGCCACAGCTTCGAGTCGGCCAACCACCCACTGCTGCAGCAGCTCTGGTACAAGGCGCGCTACACCGAGGCCGAACGAGCCCGCGGCCGGCCGCTGGGCGCCGTGGACAAGTACCGGCTCCGCAGGAAATTCCCCCTGCCCCGCACCATCTGGGACGGCGAGGAGACGGTGTATTGTTTCAAGGAGAAGTCGCGCAACGCGCTCAAGGAGCTCTACAAGCAAAATCGCTACCCTTCGCCTGCCGAGAAGCGGCACCTGGCCAAGATCACCGGCCTCTCCCTCACCCAGGTCAGCAACTGGTTCAAGAACCGGCGGCAGCGGGATCGGAACCCCTCTGAGACCCAGTCCAAAAGGTGAGCGCCAACTTTCCTCCTCCTCCCCCTTCCTCTCCCCCACCCCTTCCCAGCTTTCTTTTCCTCCTAGCGCTCGCAAACATGGCGCTTACCTTCCCCACCAGCCTGGTCCGGCTGCCCACCTCTCCCCGCCCCCCACCTCTCTCCCCGACCGGGAAAGGGGGGCGGCGGTGGCTAGGGGCGGGGGAGCCTCTCTCCTTACCCTCCCCCCCGAAGTTTCTGGTCGCCCGCCTAGGTCTCAGTCCCCGCCCCCACCGCGGCTGGTCACTGCTGCCCTGTTTCCCACCCCCATCCCGCTGGCTTTGAAGTTGCCACACTCTCCCCGGTTCTGGCAGGGCGAAGGAGCGTGTGTAGGCACTGGAAAGGCCACTCTCGCTGCCGCCCGAGGCCGGCGCAGGTTGCCAGCGCCGGCGAGGTCCGCACCTTCGCAGGGTCGCACCCGCCCGGCGCGCGCCCCCGCTCCCCGACCCCCAGGGTGCCGCTACCCCCAGCCCCTGCGCTAGTGTGCGCTGGAGGTCGCCTTGGCGGCTCTGGAGGGAGGGGAGTGTTGGTGGGGGCTGGCTGCAAGGGGGTCTGGGGCCGTCGAGGTGTTTTATATGACAGAGTTAATCATTCACTCTGCCGGCCGTGGTTCCCTTCGCGGCCGCGGCAACGTGGGGTGTTGGTGCGGCTGGGCTCTGCGGTGTTTTGAAACCTGATTCTGAACTCCTTCGGATCGGATTTCAGTGCCGCTGGGTAGTGGGGCTGGAGGGCTGTTTCCTGGGCTGGGGAACACTGCGCGGCTCCCTCCTGGTATGGTGGTTGGGGGCGGGGGCAGGCTGGCATAAGGAGGACTGCTAGAAGGAGTGGGGGTGCTATCAACTCTGCACCTCCGGAGCGTCCACCCTGGCGAGTTTGAACTTTTTGACTGGCAGAGCTTTTCTCCCCGACTGGTACAGTGAAATCGGGGTTTCCACCTCTTTTGTGCGTCCTCCGAGTTAGACACCTGGTGTGTATGTATGTCTCTGTGTATTTTGGGCGAAGTAAAGTAAGAAGGTCGCCTAAAGAGATGGTGTCTCTAACCCCACGGGGACAGGAGAGAGAATCCAAACGCAGCTCCAAGGTTCTGCTCGGGGAAGGAATCTAGGAGCCCGGGAGCCAGCCCGCCCGGGCGAAGGTAATCACCCGGCGCATTCCAGAACCCGCAGCGGTCAGCCCCTGTTCCTGCGGTGCCCGACGGCTCCGACGTTCCTTACCCCAGGCAGGGAGGGAGGCGCTGGCCAGAGCACAGCTTCGTGGTAACCAAAACAAAACGCGCACTGCGACCTGCCTGCACCCTTCTGCAGGCCTACTGGAGACCCAGAGGAGGCGCGTTGGTAACGCCAGGCCACCTGCCCCGCGCCCGTTTGAGGGCGCGGATTCCGTGGCTCCAAGTCCCGACAGAATCCCAGGGACTGGGGGCAGAGAGTGGAGAGCGGCACCGGGCGCTGGCTATTTGCCCTGCAGCCTCTGCTCCCGGACCGGGCGCGTTCCCCGGATCTCCTCCACTACATTCTACCTGCTTCGCCCCCCCAACCCCCAACACACACACACACCCTACACCCCGCCCCCGGCCCAGTTGCCTGGTTTAGGCCCCTCTCCGGATCTACCTCCCACCCGCACCCCGGGTGAGTCACCCTAGCAGACGGCGACGGCGGCTCAGCCTCAGCTCGTAAATCAAAGCGCTTTCTGCGCTCCTGGCCCCGCAGCCCAAAGCCCGAATAATCCCCTCCCCTCTGCTTGAAAGTGAACCGACCGCCGGGCACCGCAGGGATGTCGGATCTTCAGCTGGGCCAAGTCCCGCGGTGATTCCAAACTGCCAATGTCCTACTCAGCATTCTCCCCCGCCCACCCTCAGACCAAAAGGGAAACCCCCACTACTAACCTTCCTCGGATTTGTTACTACCCCATGAGTCGGAGAGCTGAGAAACACAGCCCTGTCTGGAACGGAAGGACCGAGGGTGCTGGGGAGGGGTCTGATAGTTCCTGGGCAGCTGAGTGACCCACCGTTTCCCTCCCACCTCACCAGGGCTCTGGATGGTGTATGTTAAATAGGCCCCTATGGCTTCCTTTGGATTCAAGGGCGACTGACTGCACTTAACAGTTCTTGGGTTGAAAGTGCCTTTCCTACAAGGCCAGCCACTATGTTGAATGAAAGAGTTGTCAGTCTGGTGGAGTAGAAGTTTGGGAGCAGGTGAGAAAATGATCTCTTGTTAACTAACTGGCAAACAAAACAGAACACTTTCCACCTCCTGCTCCTTTGGCAGTTTCATTTACTTTCAAAATTACACTAATCTGAATTGGTTTGAAGGGAGGGGAAGGAGTTCCTAAACTGGAAAGACTAATGAAATCATTTAATGATTTTTTTCCCTTTGGTATAGGTAGTGGCATATATAACAGTAAGGGATAACTTCAATGCTATCAAAACAATTCTCCTGTAAATCCTATTAGTTGAGTTTACATCTTCCCAGATTTTCTGTCTGGTCAGAAAGAATCTGCTGAAAGGGCTCATAGTTTAAACAGGACTAAAAGATTTCCTGCTGTGCTTTCCTTAAATGCTGCCTTTAATGGGGTTAGAAGCTGGTTTTCCAAACAAATGACACTATGTAGAATGTCAGCCCCCTGACCTTCTTAATGTCTTGATTTCCCCCTAAATACAGTGAGTCAGATGGCAATCCCAGCACTGAAGATGAATCCAGCAAGGGTCATGAGGATTTGTCTCCTCATCCACTCTCCGGTTCATCCGATGGTGTCACCAACCTCAGCCTTTCCAGTCACATGGAGCCAGTATACATGCAACAAATTGGAAATGCTAAGATACTAAGTTCTTCTGGAGTTTTGTTGAATGGAAGCTTGGTACCTGCAAGTACTTCACCTGTCTTCCTTAATGGTAATTCTTTCATTCAGGGACCCAACGGAGTTATCCTTAATGGATTAAATGTGGGAAATACACAGACAGTGTCATTGAACCCACCCAAAATGGCATCAAACATTGTGAGCAATGGTATATCCATGACTGACATACTGGGCTCTACCTCCCAGGATGTGAAGGAATTCAAAGTCCTCCAGAGTTCTTCAGCTAACTCAGCAGCCACCACCTCCTACAGCCCCAGTGCCCCTGTGTCATTCCCAGGGCTGATCCCCAGCACTGAGGTGAAAAGAGAAGGCATTCAAACAGTGGCTTCCCAGGATGGAGGCTCTGTCGTGACTTTTACTACACCAGTGCAAATTAATCAGTATGGCATTGTTCAGATCCCCAATTCTGGAGCAAACAGCCAGTTTCTTAATGGGAGCATTGGATTCTCTCCACTGCAGCTGCCTCCTGTTTCAGGGGCAGCTTCACAAGGTAAAATTCTCATTTGGTACTATAATGCGCCAGTAACGTTTAGCCAGGTGCTATAAGTGACGCATTTGGTGAGAGCTGTGGATTGATGTGTCTGTTCAGGTACCCTATTGGATGGCTCTATGTCATTTTTTTCTATATAGAAACAGGAATGGTTAGAATGGCAAGGAAGATTGCATAGCCCCTTGAATTCAGGAGTGAGAGATGTTAATGCAAGTTTGCCTTCCTGCAAGCAAATCTGAAAGTCTGGATTGTTTCACCAAAACAAAATAAGTAATTGTTTGCCTTAAAGGTCAGCTTCCTATATAATGGTTTTATTTTTTTTTTAAATCAATTTGTGCACTGTTTTTTAACAACTATCATCTACTTCAGCTTATTTGAAGCATTATGGAGTAAATTCCATTGTTTCTCTTTAAGTAAAATGCTATAAAACATAACAGTCCTACAGCACACGATTTATTTTTTCATTGAGGTTATGGAAAGGATTAAGCTAAGTCACTATCCAACATAGGGCAAAAATATGAAAACCACAGGGAAAGCCAAAGTGCTTAGTTTTATAATAATTTAATGTGGATCTAATCCCTTTTCTTTCTTTTGGAAATTTGCTAACAGTATGTAACATTTTAGAGTACATATTTGACCAAAGAGCCTGGTATATATATTGGGTAAGGAGAAAAGCAGAAATAGTTTTCACATGTAATCTAGAAAAATGATACCATAGAGAATTATTGCAGATTATTAACTAATTTTTAAAAGGGGGTATTTAATATGAATAAGAATAGCATTTTCAGTTTAAAAAGCTAAGCTCAAATGACAGAGCTGTCAATCCTTAGACTGTGTGGGTGACTTGAAGGCTTAAGTTTAACCAGATGGGTCCAGGAAGCAATGTTTCTTTATAGTAGCTGTGTATTACAGTTCTTAATAAAGCATTTGGGGAATCAGCCTTTCTCAAAAAAAGATACCTGAACCTTTCTTTAAAATACCTAGATAAGATAGATAATCATTCTACAGTTGGCATTTATATGGAAAAGCAGAATATCTACATCTTTTTCTTACTTTATAATTTGAGAAAATAAGGGATTTTTCTTATTTTACCATCATTACAAAGTTATACTTTGTACCTGTATCATTTTTCAATTAGACTTTTTTAGCTGATTTTGAAATTATTGTTCAATTCATAATTTAGTTGCAGTTATATTTAAATATCAAGTTTTAGATCACATCTCCCTTCACTTATGTATAATTTCTACACATTCAGAAATACTATTTTATTTATATTCAATAGCAGTTTGAGGAAATGTCACAATTATTTTGTTATTTATGGCTGTCAAAAAATAACTAGTTATTTTGTTCACATATGCACTGGAAAACAATCTCACAATCACATAGCACAAGAAAATAAACATCTATTTCAGATATTTTTTGCTACAGTTTAGTAGCCAACAGGAATTTTAAGGCATATTTAAGTTGAAGTTAAACATTATCAAATAAAAACCTTTTTCATTCATTTGGCCTAGAACAAACATTTATGTTAGGGAAGCACCCAAACATACATAGGAATGTTTTTCTTAACATGTGTATTTCCATGATGAATACTTTCAAGTGGTTAATTTTTTTTTAAGTTCAAATATAGTGTATTTGTTTTCTTTTCTTTTTTTTTTCCATTTTAAAGACTTCCTTTGCGTTTAGGATGCTTTAAAATGTGTGGAAGACATAAACAGCCCTGTGACATTGATTTATCAATATGGATGACAATATAATCACAATTATTGTAGTAATTCAAGAAGACATGTTTTAGGTGAATTACCTTTACCACCGGGCTGTTTTCTCAAAACGATATAGAGTTTACTGAACATCTAATTCAAGAGCAGGGTAAACAGCCCTTCTGAAACTATTCTGTCACAAAACGTCCCCAAGTCCAACTTTCCTTCAGTGGCAAGATAATTGCCATTATTTCACTATGTCTCTGTAAAGACTGGGAAAGAAAAGGGTTTGATATGACGGTGGGAATAAGTAGGGCAAGGGTCTGATTCATCTACATTGTCTGAGTTACCAGATTTGAACATCTCAGCTTTCTACATACATTTCTTTTTTGTACTCCTATCTCTGCAGATCATTATAGCAAGAACCTCAAAAGATTCAAACCTTTTAGAGAAGCATTAGCTCTAGTTCTTTATATTAATTGATATTTTTTAAAACACATTTCATTATTATCATTAATTTTTCCTATCACTACACTGAAAATTCAGAACTGACCCGAGAAAAAAAGTTAAAACCTATTGAATGTTTTGTTGACTTGACGTTACTTTATGGCTACTTTGGCAAAAGTTTGCAACTTGTCTGTACAGGTTTATATGGTTAACATTGAGCCCCAAGGTAACTCATTTTATGTGGCATTTTCTACATTTCCATTTATATTTTATGTGAGTTACTGAGCTTGTCCTGAACAAAGGCATTTTATTTTGCATTTGTGTTTTCTAGTTCTAACTGGCAGAGTTAGCAATAACTATCAACTAATTGAAAGATAACAAGTTGGGGTCTATATGGAAAATAATGAATATGTTTTATGAACCAGAAACTTGACTAAAATTAGAACTCGGAAAAGATTTTTTTTTCACACTTGATTTCTAAGCCAGTAGTTCTCACTCCCACTTGGTCATCAGAATTCCTCAGGGAGTTAAAAATACACCTGTTCCAGGACTTACTGAGCCAGATTCTTAGGAGTGGAGCCGGGAATCTGTAGTTTTAAGTGCTCAAGGTGATTCTACTGAATCTAAGGAAAATCTTGTGTGTAAAAAAAATAACTTTTTTCTTTCCTTGTCAGTTTAATCAATGATAACCTGTACTTTTTTTTTTTTAGGTAATATTTCAGTAAATTCAAGCACTTCAGAAGGGAGCACATTTACAAGTGAGTCTACTACAGTCCATCAAGGAAAGGTTTTCTTGAGCTCTCTTGCTCCCAGTGCAGTGGTATACACCGTTCCTAATTCAGGCCAGACTATAGGATCTGTTAAACAAGAGGGCTTGGAGAGGAGCCTGGTTTTTTCTCAGTTGATGCCTGTCAATCAGAATGCACAAGTAAATGCAAATCTGTCTTCTGAAAATATCTCGGGGAGTGGCCTCCATCCACTGGCCTCCTCATTAGCTAATGTATCCCCAACTCACAGTTTTTCCCTGACTCCCCCTACCCTACTAAATCCCACTGAACTAAACCCTGACATTGCTGATAGCCAGCCAATGTCTGCACCTGTGGCAAGCAAATCTACTGTGACATCTGTCAGCAACACTAACTATGCAACTCTTCAGAACTGCTCCCTTATCACTGGTCAAGATCTATTGTCCGTCCCCATGACCCAGGCTGCCCTTGGGGAAATAGTTCCTACAGCTGAAGATCAGGTGAGTCACCCCTCCCCAGCAGTACACCAGGATTTTGTCAGAGAACATCGGTTGGTTCTACAATCAGTAGCTAACATAAAAGAGACTTTCTTAACAAATTCAGAGAGCAAAGCCACAAGCAACTTAATGATGCTGGACTCCAAATCCAAGTATGTCCTAGAGGGCATGGTTGAGACTGTCTGTGAAGATCTGGAAACAGACAAAAAAGAGCTTGCCAAGCTCCAAACTGTCCAGTTGGATGACGATATGCAAGACTTATAAACTTTATCCACCACCACCCTTTTTCTTTCCTGGCATCAATGAGCAAATCTTTTCACGAAGCCCTGAGGACATAAAGCATTTTCCCATTTAAAGGGAAACACTAGTTTTGCAAGTAAATGCATTCAAGAGACTTTGGATTGATCTGCATGAAGATCACAGTTAAATATGCAGGAATAGGACTGCATTACTGCAGTCTTTTCTTCACATATGTTCTCTTTTAAATATATGGGGACAAAGGAACAAGATGGAATATATCAAGTCAAAGTGTATCATTTGGTTGACTTAATATAATTCTGAGGTCAAATGGAACTTGATAGTTTTTTAAATTAAAAATATATGCACCTAATAAAATTAACTATCACTACAGAGCATTAGAAACAATACAGTTCTTTTTGTTTACTTTTACTCCATGGGCATTGATATGGTTAAGTAGCATAAATGGTACTCGACACTATTCTAAGGGTATATTTTTGAATATATGCATTTCTGTTTTTCAGCATTTTTGTGAAAGTCTTGGTTTGTCTCTACACATTTCCCAATGTGATTGGTAATAGTTCTGTGTGGCTGAGAAAGTTTGCATCTCCACTAAAAACTCTGAAACAAATTTCAGTATGAGTGTAAATATATTATTCCTATAAGCAAGGATTTGAGTAATTACAGTGAAGTTTATTTATGCTGTATATGTTTCTCTTATACTTCAGACACTATGAACTGAAAAGAAAAACGTTTTCTTACTGTTTAATTTATTTTTATTGTTTGAACAGGAAGTGAACATAGTTATTTCAAACGAAGTTTTACTTTTTGTAGGATTTTAAAAGTAATGATTTTTATCAGGAGTCTATTAAGGTCAATATTAATAACACTGAAACAGGAAATCCAACTCCCAATATTGGAATTTTAGTACCTTTTTTTACATTCTTGTTCTTTATTTAGCAGCTCTCTGATTCATTTAAATATGTTTTATATAGAATTCTATGTGCCTTTTTACCTTGTGGCCTTTTTATTATTCTTACTAAGGTACAGAAGTGTCAACAGAAGCACTGATGGCTCTTTTCTACTACTCTAACAGGGTTAATTTCATCACAGAATTGCTTTAAATCCGAAGAACTTAAGTTTCACTTTTATTATGATGCAAATGGTGAACAACTAATTATTGTTAATGCTTTTCATTACAATGAAAACAACAATTATAGACTACCATGTAGAATCAGTTCTGTAGGCTATGAAAACAACCATTTTAAAGTAAAGAAAGAATATGTATATTCTATTGAGCAGAATTCTGTCCTGTTGAAACTTAGTTCTAACTGTCTTGAATCAGTTGTTACATTATGACATATGACTGTTGTTTGCACTATATTATCATGTCTTCTTTAAAAGTAAATCTTTTGGGGTTTCTGTAAGAAGCTTGTTTGATTATGTTGTAAGCTGTGGTTACAATTTTTATCAGGACTCTAAACACAAGTTGTAATGCAAAATACCTTTATGTAGTTAGTCAAGTCTCTGGTCTCTGAAAAGCAAAAAAAGTGGGAAAATTATTTCTTCAGAGATGACTTAAAGTTGTTGAACATAAAGATGTCACCACATCTTGCTTTCTTTACTATCAAAACACAGGGTCCACTCTAGATCACTACATGCCGAGCGTGTTGAATAAGGGCCACAGAGGATTTAACTTCTGTCGTTACTGCAAATGGAACTTGGCAGACATAGACAAAGAACCCTATGAAGAATTCCTCTCCCATCATTTTGATAAGGAACTTAGATCCCATTTTTTATAGAATTGGTGAATATTCCTAAACTGCTGAAACTGCATGCTTTTCATTTTGTTTTTTACAAAGTCAGGTGTTTTAGAGTTATCTTCCACTCCACCACTACTTATATAGCTTGCTTTTTCTTTGGGTATTTGCTGATCATGTTACTGAGATTAATTACATGGTGTAGTTTACATGAAAATGATGTTTTCCACTTGATTGCTGCAGATATCAAAAGTTTGTTAATTATTTAAAAATACCCATCCAATAAGGGAGGTGGGAAGGTTTTAAAAGTTATATATGTTATATATAACTGGAAAAGTTTTCTATGTCTTCCAAAAATATACTAAGCCTCTTTTATTCACAGTTCTTCCTCTTTTTTCCTTTAAGAAAGAGAAAAGAGCACAAAACTTAAGACTTACCTAGGAAACCCATTCATACTCCCAACATGATGTAACTATAGCCCTACAATTACTCCAGGTAGCTAAACAATATACCAGGTAAGAATCAATGCACATTATAAAGAACTTATTGTTCTTTTCTATTCTTTCAGTAAAATACGGGCCAGTTCATATGTAGTCCATATATATGTGAATGAAATAAGATAAACCCCATGTTCTCCATGCACAGAATTGCAAATGCCTTTTGCAATACCAAGGGCCAGACTCAGAACCCTTGGAGTTCATGTGGCAGAATTTCTCTAGTACATAAACCAATGCTTGAAGATGCTGCAAATGACCCCCTAATGATCCCTACAGAGGAATCAAAACAGGCGTAAATAACTCTTCCTGCAAACCCCAACCCCTGCGGCTGGCTGTGGGATTTTTGATGTGAGCCTAACTATGCACTCTATCAGCCAGAATTTGGCATTTAGCTCTTAGTTACATCTAGTAAAGGACAGTCTATTATTTAAAGAGAAGGTGCATTTGTTCCTCAATCAAGCAAGAGCACCTGTGTTGTACTGCTTTATAGCTCATGTATATTTATAGTAATGAAAAGACTGAATTGTACACATTTCAGTGCCTTTCTTGTGTTATGAAAGGCAGATAGACATTATAGCCATAGATAAAAATCCGTAGTTAAATTGCACACTGACCTTAAATTGCCTTGTATATGCCCTTACATCTTGCATGGTAAAAGTTGGATTACTGGGCATGTGTTGCAGCCTGCCCTGCTACATGTTAGACAAGTGTGCGTTAGTACATAGCCAGAAGTTCTTCATTCTTTAAAATGTTTTTGACAGATCATCTCATTATGAAAACATAAATAATTTAGAAAACTGTGGCGGAAAGAATTACATTTTACAAAAGATGTTTCAAAGCCTTTCTAGAACTTAGATGATTAGAGCCTAACATTTGTTTTGTATCTAATTGATACATCATGTTGATTTAATATTACAACCATACATTTTATTAGTCAAAATTATATAGCATGTGACTCTTTTGGCTTTCAGGGTTCTCAAAAAATTTTATTCTTTAGTTGCATGTACTGTATGTTTAGAGGCAACCAGTTATATACTCAATATGGTTTTACTGTGCCTTACACAAAGAGAAAATCTATACAGAATGTATATCATGGGATGGGGTAACAGAGTCTTTACTGCACTGTTAGGTGATGGCACACAGAGCATGTCTCAGAACATTTCTGTGCTTAATTACCCAACCAAAGAGATCTAAAGTATGTATGTTGTACTGTAATAGGGGTTTATGCCTGGACAATTAAGTGTTTTATTTGTTTTCTGAAATGATGTGAACTTATTTTTCTAAACACTATGCTAAATAAACTTTATATTTATACATACCTTGTGTTGAAAGTTATTTTCCCTAAAAAGCAAATAAGGAAAAAGAAAACTAAAAACCCACACAAACATTTCAGAGGCTGGCAAATATAAGGACAAAAGGAGTCATTTTGAAAAAACAATCTCTGTTGGTCTCTGTACAAAATTATGCAATTCACTTAACCCTACTGCATACTCGGAGCTAAATGATTACATTTCATCTTTCCTTTAAGGAAAGAAATGTGTCTTATTCATTTGGGTATCCAAAAATCTGAATCTAGCCCGGCTGGTGTGGTTCAGTGGTTGAGTGTCGACCCATGCACCAAGAGATCGCCGGTTTGATTCCCTGTCAGGGCACATGCCCAGGTTGTGGGCCCCATCCCCAGTGTGGGGCATGTAGGAGGCAGCCAATCGATGTTCTCTCTCATTGGTGTTTGTATTTCTCTCTCTCTCTCTAAAATCAATAAAGAAAACATTAGTTTGAATCTGGTACTCAAGGAGGTTCAATGAAATTAAATTGAAAGGTCTAAAGATCTTTCCACTCCCAATCTTATTGAAAGAGCTCAGTAGCCAAAATCGCTACACTACAGTTGGGTCCACCAGTGGTTTGACATAAAGTTGTGGACAGAACTGCATTACTGAGTGTATAGAAGAGTCAGTCTTGGTACAGTTTAGTCCTAATTTTAAAATTACATGGTATCTGATTTTGTATGCCTCCCACACTGAAATGAAGAGGAGACTAGTAATTAAGTAGAACTGTACAATTCTATTACAAAACTAGTTAAAGCCATCAAGTTAATTTCAGATATTATGCCCAGATTTTTTTATATTCTTGTCATTCAGTTCATTTATTTAGTTTAGCAATTTTCTATGTAGTTAAACCAGTTAAAATGAATAGTGTGTCTCAGTAAGTGAAATGATTACATTTTATAACATCTTAACCAAACAAATATTTCAAAACATTTGACAAGGTCACTGACCTACTTCAAACATTTTTTGGTTCCTGGAAAACTAGCAAATCAAATAAAACCCCTCAATGGGAATTCAAGACCTTCAGCTATATAATTGTATCTCACTTTTCCAGTTTCTCTTAAGAAATAATAAATGTGGAAATTTACCTTTGTACATTACCATTGCCAATACAGAGCTGGTAAAGTAAATAAATAAGATACATTCAGATAATGTTCAATGCTAAAAAGTCAACAACAGAGTAATTGCATTAGGAATGGGGAATGGTAGAGGTGGGGATATGCATTGGACTGGTCAAGGAAGGTCTCTGGGGAAGTACATTTCAGCAGAGAAGCTTGAATGATGAAAGGGAGCCAGCCAGCATTCCAGACACAGGGAACAGCAGGGCCTGAGGGAGGAGCAGAGCGGCTAGATCACAGAGTTAACTAGGAGTCATGTGATAGGAGATCCAGTCAGAGAGATAGGCAGGGATCACATCACAGGTAGAGCTTTATTGTTCTGTGCCAAATAGTTTGGATTTGAGTCTGAGAAGCAAGGAATGATAGAACATGATTTACACT